CCAAACAGCTCCTCCGCTTGGGCAATACCTCCATTGCGGACGTAGCCCGAGAGCAGGATATTCCAAGAGTGCTGGTTGGGACACTCGAGCGTTTGAAAGGCAGAAAGGGCATCTTGGAGGCTGCCACACCTGGCATATGCTTTGACGATTAGATTCACGAGCTGGACATGGCGGTGGAGTTAACCCTCTTTTCACTTGCGAGATGGTAGAAGCACGCCCGATCAAAGTGATAACCTCATGGTCCATGTCCAAAACATTGCACCTAAGTTCTTAGATTATACCGTGACGAACAAAAGAATTTTTGGATTTCACACCTGGATAGACAAAATATGTTCAAAACAAAACTTTCGGTCACTTCGAAAAAATCTACGATACCTTCGGTTCCATGCTCCTGGATTTTTTTGCAAGCTGAAGTTCTCTTGGAGAATCCATGGGCCGAGCTCGTAGAAGCAACCGATCAAGCTGGAGCAACCGGGTCCGCCGTTGAGCCACACCATAATCGGTGAGATTTCCAGCTCGGTGTCTGGCTTGCTCGCTTCGTAGTAAACGTAAAAGAGGCGAGACTCGCTCGACTCGTCAATGGGGAGATAGCCGGAGTCGGTTGGCAAAGCCTCGTCTGGGAATTCATACTCGGCAGCGTGGATTTCATTGGTTATGGAAGTCTGGACCTGAAAAACCACAGAGAAAAGTTGGCAAATGCAGGTGAGAAATTTCTATCTTATGATTTCTTCTCTCTGTTTTTTTTTTTTTTTCATGAGCTAAACCTGGTCGCAGGCCATAATACTTCGATCACAAGCAACTTCCATCAACAGCCAGCTTTTGCTTGAAGGAAGAAGAAAAGAAAAAAGGAGAAGAAATTCACTAACGAAGGATAAAGCAAACCAGGAACTAAAGGAACGATCCCAATGAGAGAGGAGATTCTCAAATAAGGCAAAGATAGAAGAAATCAGCGGCCATACGTACGATCCTGCGAGCTTTGGTTCGAACAGTGGTTCGAAAGCAAGAAGAGGGACCCCGATTCGGCGTTGGCAGCCTGATCTCTCGAAACGGGACGTTGAATCTGGGACTGCTCGCAGCGCTGCTGCCGCTGGCGAGCTGCATTGCGACGCGATCGCCCGCGCCGGGGGCAAGCGACGTGTGCCCCGTCGATCGAAGCCCCGGAAGAACCCTAAATTCTTTATTTGAAATCGAATCTTTACTGGTTCTTTGCTTAAGTAAATGATTTCTTCCATGAAGGAAACATCCTTCATCCCTGCTGATGATAATCAAGCCACAAAGTAGTTTATAATGTTTGACCTGTGGATTTTTCCACTCTATTTCTGCATTCCATGGCTCTTTGTGTAAGAGTCCTCTCTAGGTTAAGAGATAGGGTTAGGCTCATTGGATGAGTGCAAGGTATTTGACATTCAGCCTTATCTATTTAAATTTCTATCAGCTTATAAATATGGTTTGTATTCAAACTAAAAATCACAGAATAGACACTACTTAAATGAATGCTGGAATGGCTTTTAAGTATATTATTATCTAAACATAAAAGTATGATCTTTAACAGTACTAAAACCAGGAGCTTAATAATAAAACTACAATAAAATTTTAAAGGTTTTGGGAAAACTTTTAGGCAGCAAATGAGAATGAAACGACAGTAAAAATTGGTAAAGCTAAAAAAAATTATTAAATACCACGAATAGAGATTACTTCCTGCAAATCTAAGATTAAGGAAACTTTAGGAAGTTATATGATAATAATATAACCCAAAAGCTCGAAATAATGGCAATAGAGAGGAGGATAGTCTGCAAATATTTATAACTTTAACAAGATTTAATATCAGAAAATAATTATTAATTAATTAATTTTAAACGGGTAATACCTCCCATTGGATGGCTGAAGCATAGACCACTTTCTGGTCCCGTCACGGATCACTACTGCTGCATGATCAACCTGTTTGGGTGCTGGATTGCCCAAAAGATTGTCAACAGCCTCCCAGTGAGAAGAGACGATGTAGCATTTACCACTATTCTTGCAGCGTAATATACTCCTAATGGAATGCCACCTAGGATCATGTCATAGAGAGCTCAAAAAAGATGCTGTTGCCTGCGCATGCTCATCGTCCCATCCTTGAACACAGCCACGAATGTCAAGAACAAACCGGTTGTGATGTTGGTGTTGGCGGAATGTACATCCCTTTGGCTCTTCCTACAATCTGGGAGTCACGCGAGGGAGAACATCATCGATGACAAACACTGCATCAAAATGGCCATTCCGCGACCAAAACCACCGTGAAATTTGATTTCAGTTGCATGAGAAAACCACCGTACGAATTCTGGTGTTGTCTAATATCTATTAGTGCAATAATATTATCACCGACTCAAGAATCGATAGTTTAGATTTCATAAAAACAGAATAAAAATTAACAAAATCAGTTTGTGATCATCCTGGCTATTGTATATCGATGATCGATGGCTCCTCCTAAACTTTTGTACCCCGATGAAAGGCCAGGAAGACCTTCCTGTGACTTACTCAAGCACATAGAAGGGACTGAAGAGAAAGCCAGATAAATGACGAGCTTTCGCTCTTCATTCTATTTGTTTTTCACTTGTTCTTACGTTTTGTCTCTTGAAGTGCCTGCAATCAAAGAGTAGCATCTATACAGATTGCCTTTGAAGAAACGTACCTCGTCAAGTTCCCTGTCTCTCTCAGAGGTGGAAGAATTCACCAGGATACAGAAAGGCTCGTACCTGGTCGGCGTTTTCACCTGTCAGAGAAGCGTGCCCCGGAGCAGATGGCTCCACCTCCAAATCACTCTTGACCCGCTTGGGATCATTGGCTGTCAACTTCCGGACGAGGTTCTCGTCGCTCGTGATCTCGGGGCTGTTCTCCACATCACGCTTCCTGATCGATTCAGCTTCATCAGTTCATATTGTCAGCTCAAGTGCAGAAACTACTAACCTGTGGGAAAAAGGCCGGATGCGGGGCTCCATCATGATGAACTTCTGCATTTGTTTCTCTATCTCAGCCCGCTTCTTTGCCAGTGTTGCGACATCTCCAGGATCGAACACGGTGCCAGAACGATCCGCCACCTTTGGTCCTTGTTCCCGTCCATGAAACTGCTCTGGAACCCGGTCGCGTCGAGATGATAGGCGCACTGGGAGCTCGTTTGCAGCCATTTTCTCGCCTGCTGGATGATGAGAGTAGCCACCAGACGAGAAGAGTGGATCATCCTCCGGAGTGGCTGAGAACAGCCTTGGCTGCTCGTCAACTTCATACGCAGGAAAGAGGACGAGAGGATCCTCCATCATGACGTTTCCCCGGCTTCCTTGCTGGCCATGCACTGGATCAGCAGCACGAAAGAGTGGATCGTTTCCGGATGCAGACTTGTGGCGAGCACCAGCGGGAAGAGCAGACGGTGGCAGCCGCCTTGGTGGCCTCAGGAGCTCGCGAATTAGGGGGTCAGCAGCCGCCTTCTTCCTGCCGGCATTCAACTGCGATGATGGTCGAGGCTCCACTTTGGTAATGAGGTGCTCCCGCTGGCTGCTGCTGCTGCCGCTGTTGCCACCGCTAGGCTGATGGCCATCCTCCACCAGGATGTCGTCGTGGTGGATGTCGCCGTGCACCTTGTTCCTTCTCCTCTTCAAGAGTATCCAGACTCCAGTGACGATAGCTACCAGTGCGAGCAGGAGCATAACGATGCCTGCCGCGAGCACACCAGGTGATGCCACGAATGCAGCTGCAGCTGCTGCTGCTGCTGAAGATGGTGCTGACGACGCCGTAGGCGGAGAGGTGTCCAAGCCAAGGGGCCTTGGTTGCCACGTTATGGTCGAAGGTGGTGGTGATGGCGGCCTTGGGTTCCACGTTATGGTCGAAGGTGGTGGCGATGGCGACCTTGGGTTCCACATTATGCTCGAAGGTGGTGGCGATGACGGCCCGGCCCTCCTTGGTCGCCAGGTTACAGTGTCGGCCTTGTTGGGCGGCGAAGAAGAAGGTGACGGCCCTGTAGCAGCTCCATCACCAGCTCGTCGATGTCCATGGTGCCTCTTTGGCTCTGCTGCTGGATGTTCCTTGGTGGGCGGAGAGCTCGGTGGTGGATGTCCAGCTCCATGATGCTCAGGAGAACTCGGTGGTGGCTTTGCTGGTGAGTGATGTCCATCTGTGGGCGAATGACTGTGCCTCTTGGTTGGCGCCGGTGGAGACCTCTTTGGTGGCGGAGATGAAGTTGTCGGCGCCCTCTTTGGCGATGGTTTGGGCGTCCTCGCGTGCTCCCGGTGAGGCGGCGGGGGCGGTGGCGTGGAGATTTTGCGAGCCATAGTCAGAGATCAAGCTTACCAGAGAAAGTCGCAGTATTTCAGCTCAAGCTCGCTTGCTTACCAGAGGAAACTCGCGCTTGCTTACTTCCCCCTTTTTTAGGGCATTAAAGTGTCTGAAAGCTAAGTACTTATAATGTGTACGGTAAACGAATGGTATTTTCGTACAAATAGAAGAATAGTAGTCATTCTTGTACAATCTAGACCGTGCATTTAAAATTTTCTGGACCGTTCCTTTATATACAATCTACACTGTGTAAAATCTTGGCTGTCATATTAATTAAATCGAAGCCGTCGATCTAACATGATCTCAACCGTCCCATATTCAACTGATGCGATTCTGGGCAAAACTTTTTAACACGGCCGAGGGTCTTGTAATATGAACTTGTAAAGTTTTAGCAGGCGAATTTGTGGAACTTAGTGATCCTCATTTGAAGGGTTGGAGAGATATTATAGAAACGAGAAGAAATTCTCAAACACGGAACCAAATTAGATAAGGACTAAGCAATGCCGTCCCACGACAACTCTCTAGCATTGTGTGCTGGCTCGAGCTATAAATATGAGCCCCTCCTGCCTCACAGATCAAACCACTTCTCTCTAATAGAACAAGCAGCAAAGCATGGAGAACAAGGCTTTCTTCGTGTTGTTTTTGGCACTCGCCATATTTGTCATGATGCTGGCCATGGGCGTGGACGTGGGAGGAATCGCAAAGGCTGCTGCGCAGCGCTGCCAGTCGGGGTGGTATTGGTATGACAACAGTTGCCACCGTTGCCAGAGGGGTTGGAGCTGGCGCAACAATCGCTGCTGGCGCAACTGAAACCTCCAGTTTCACGGGGTAAGCCCAAGCTAAGAATCAGCATCGTAATTGCCTTTGATTTCATCGTTCTGCAGTGCCAAGGGTCTGGAAACAAGAATAAAGACACTGATGACGTGTTTTCTGTATCGTGCGATGCTGCATGGCATTGCATGAGTTCCAGCAATAAAATATAAATTGTCCAAGCCTTGATATAAAATGTCTGAATCTGCCCTTGCTCCTTCCTCCAAGTCCCTCGACTTCCAGTCGATTGCTCCAATGATCGGCAAGCAATAAGACTCGATTGGAGCATCAAAACCAGGCCCAGGCACACCTAGCGGTGGGAGTGGAGGTCGGGGGCATCACCAAGGCGATGGCGCATCGCTGCTTCGGAGGGATGGATTTCGCTGCGCGCAATGCAATTGGTACGGGTATGACAACAGCTGCCATCGAGGGTGGCGCTGGAATGGCAGCCGCGGCCTCCACTGAAGAATTGCCTCGAAGAAGCGAACGAATCTCGAATCATGGAAAGTGATATATATATATAGAATAAGAGTGAACGAAGTCTATTCTGTCAATGATAAACATGGTGCGTTTTCTGCAAAGTTGTGTGTAACGTATGGACTTTTAATATATAGGAACTTTTTTCATATAATCTAGACTCAAATTTATATTTTATATAATATTAAATATATTAAATTGGAAAAGCAACAAGATGGAAATATGACGCAGTAGTGGAGACAAATTTGTCCAAGACAAAGTCTAGCAATTACATACCCCAACCACATATAACCTCTCTCGATCGAAAATGAAATGAAACACACATTTCTGTTCTAAAGATCGTTAAGATCCAACTATTTATTTGGATTTTTGTTCTTCCCAGTGGCAGTGAAATCTAGCGCGTGGTGATGCATGAGTTCATATATTATATAAACTGTGAAAAAACTAAAAATGTTGTCTTTACTCATCTGGATTCACAGCTTCACTTCCTGTGTTGTTCTATGTCCCAGCATTACAGAAGAGAAAAGGAATTGACAAACACGGAACGACTTCCTCGACTAACTTTTAAAGGACAAAGAGATGCCGTCCCAAGAGGGGCCACTCAAGCATTGTATGCTGCCTCGAGCTATAAAAATACAAGCGGCCTCACAGATCAAATCACTTCTCTCGAATATACTAGAGTTTCATAGGCTTGCTTGGTGTTGTTTTCGGTTCTCGCCATGTTGCAAAGGCGCTCCCTGCCACCGATGCCCTCGAGGACGGCGCTGGTATGGCGGCTCTGTGATCGTAAGTTTCCTCTCAGGGATTGTTTTGCAAAGTTTGGCTTGTTCTTTGAAAGCGCCTTTAAATAGGAGAGAGATGAAGAAAAAGTGGCATTGAAAAATTAGAGCAGACTACCACGCCTGTAAGCCTGTACTACCACGCAGACGTACTGATTCAAGCCTCTAGAACGCGGCAGTCAGCGCTGCCCGGTCCTGCTGGTCGGGCAGTAGTCCCCCCGCCTCACCACGGGTGGCCGATCTAGAGCAGCGCGCATACTACGCGCAACTTCTCACAGCTTGCATCGAATTGCGTCAAGGCGCCACGCGCTCATCCTTGGGAGCAGCCACCACTAATCCAGCAGGTACCTCGCAAATCTTCTCATCCAACTCTATGGAAGGTGCTAGCGCGCGGATCGAGCATTGGCAGGTGTTTATCAGCATCCACGAGCCCAACAGATTCTCCTGGAACTTGCTGTTTGGCGCTTATGCCCAAAGTGGGTATCTTGAGGAAGCAAAAAAGAGCCATTTGATCAGATGCCACAAAGGGATGTTTCTGCATGGATGATTTTTATGACGGCCTGTGAAAACCGTGGAAACTTGGAGGAATGCCGAGCATTGTTTGATCAGGTTCCAGAATGGGATGTAGTTTTCTGGAACTCTCTAATTACAGTATATGCTTATAACGGGCATATGGATCAAGGGTCTTTGATGGAATGCTAGAACACAACATAGTTTCTTGGGCTGTTATGGTTACTGGGTATGCAAGAAAAGGTCTTGTTAACGACGCGCTACGTTTGTTTATGGGAATCCCCGAAACCAACGAGCTGGGATGAACTGTTCTTGTCCCCCAGCTTGAGCATAATGAAACATCCAAGGAGCTTTTCAGTAAAATGTGCCACAGCCCAGCTTGAGCATAATGAATCATCCAAGGAGCTTTTCAGTAAAATGTGCCACAGAAGAACGTTGCATCGTGGCCGACAATTTCACAACACTGGCCGAGAGAAACCAGCTCGAAGAAGCTCGCATTTTCTTCGACCAACCACGGCCACCTCGAAGAAGCCATGAAGATGTTTGCACGGATGCCACAGCGCGATCACGTCGCTTAGACGGCAATGGTGGCGTCAATTGCTTTGCACGGGTGCCATCTTGTTCGACCAAATGCCACAGCATGATAGCGTCGCGTGAAACACGCTGGGAGCTTACATCCAGAGCAATTGCCCTCGTCCAGCGCGGGAGCTCTTCGCGGCCATGCTGGTGAGAGACACAGCGAGCTGGATTGCCGCGAGCACTCAAAGGGGGAATCTCTTGCAGGCTGGGAACATCTTCTCCATTGTGCCGCGGAACGCGATGATCCATGGCTGCGCACAGAATGGCCACGCTGAGTTTTTGACAGCATGGCGATGGAGGGCGAGACGAGAAACGAGATAAGTTTCCAGGCGATTCTCCTGACTTGCGGAAGCTCCGAGTGGCACTCAACTACTTTCGATCTATGGTGGCCGAGTACAGCATTTCTCCATGTGATTCACTTCCAGGCGATGGCAGTGCTGGGACGAGCCGGGCTGGTTGCCGAGGCCGAAGGTCTGCTGCTGGTGATGCCCTTCCAGCCGCATTTCCTCGCGTGGAAGAGCTTGATCAGCGGTTGCAAAGTTCATGGCAGCGGCAAGAACATCGATGCTGCAGCTCGTGCCGCAGAGAAACTCTTGGAGATGGAACCATGGGACTCGGCGCTCTACGTGCTCATGTCGAATTTGCAAAAGCAGGATGCTTGCCTTCCAAGGTTCATGCGTGGCCTTCGAACAGCTCGAACTGGGACAGCACACTGCACCCAAGGAAGAAGAGGGAAAAGCAAGAAACATAAACACAAAATTTGACCAACCTGATGTGATCTAACTGAACAGCAAATTCGTTCACATGAATTTGCTTGTGCACCAGCGAAGAGGTTTGGGAAGAATTGTGAGCAATTTCGGTTAACTTTCTAGCATCTATTGCAGGACTTGACTGTTCTAAGGAGGGATCTAAAGGAGGTTGACAATTACAGCGACAACTTCTGGAATAATCCAAGGAATGGGATTCTTGTAGGGTTCTTTGAAGATGACTCAGAGAAAAACTTTCTTAACCCCCAAAGATTTTGCGTGATTGAAGAGCTAAAATTAAAAAATTAGGGTTCTTGATGGCTATGGGCGTGGAGGAGCACGTCTCCTCCTCAACCTGGGCAATGCCCTGGACGACGCCGTCCTCCGCGAGCTCCCGATCGCTGCGAGCACTGGACGATGATCCACAGGTGCGCGTGGTGCTGCTCTCGGGGAATGGCTCCAATTTCTGCTCGGGTATCGACACCAACATCCTCAGCACCAAATCCTCTTCTTCCTCTTCCTCGGCCCATGGCGATGGCGATGGCGATGGCGCTCGCGGCCGCCGAGAGGGAGTCTTGGAACCACCTGATGTAGGCGCCGAATCTCTCGCCCGAGATTTGCCGCAAGCCAGTCATCGCGATGATCTATGGCGCGTGCATTGGCGCCGGGATCGATGTCATCACGGCCTGCGACGTGAGGTACTGCACTAGAGATTCACTCTTCTCCGTCAAGGAGGTGGATCTAGGACTCATTGCCGAGAACAGCCTCCTTGCCTCCTCCAAATCTCCAGCTTGGGAATACGCTGCTAAAATCACGTTCCATGAAATGGTATCTCGCTCTTTCATGGAATAGAACGTTGTCTTTGGACGAGAGATATTTCTATCGCCGACATACGCCGCTAGCATGGTATTCCACGTCATTGTGTCCCTTGCAAAAAAGCTCTCCACAGCATCAAAATACCTGGCCACGGCATATCCTGAAATCAAAGTTGTCCACGACACAATGTCCCATTCTGGGCACAAATCAAACCGAGACTTGGCTCCCTCTAAGTCTCCAGCGTTAATAAATGCCGAAATCACCGCATTGTAGAAGACCACATCTTTCTCGTGCATGGTTTGGAGCAAACGTATACATTCTACCAAATGCCCTCTTTTGCCATATGCCTGAAGCATCACCGTAAACGAGACAAGATCCCACTCGGGCATGGAATCAAAGACCCGCTTTGCTTCGGTGAGATCACCTTTCAGAGAAAACGCTTCAAGCATGGTAGTGCAGGCTAGCATGTTTCTTTCGGGCATTTTGGAGAAGAGGTCTTTAGCTCTAGCTATTAGACCCTTTTCGCAAAACGCGGCCACCATGGTTGTCCATGTAACGAGCGTCGCTTCTGGGATCCATGCAAACATACTCTCGGCGCTGGACAGATCACCCAAGTTTGCAAATCCAGATATCATGGAATTAAAGACTACAACGTTCCATCTGGGCATAAGATCAAACAACCTCTTTCCACTGCTCAAATCTCCCTTCTTTACAAACGCCTGGAGAAGTGACGCCCAGGAAACAATGTCCCTGTCCGGCATCGTATCAAACAGCTGTTTTGCCTTACGCAAATGCCCAGCATTAGCATAAGCTGCAACCAGCGTATTCCAAGTCACTCGATCTCGCAATGGCAAGACTCCAAACAGCTCCTCCGCTTGGGCAATACCTCCATTGCGGACGTAGCCCGAGAGCAGGATATTCCAAGAGTGCTGGTTGGGACACTCGAGCGTTTGAAAGGCAGAAAGGGCATCTTGGAGGCTGCCACACCTGGCATATGCTTTGACGATTAGATTCACGAGCTGGACATGGCGGTGGAGTTAACCCTCTTTTCACTTGCGAGATGGTAGAAGCACGCCCAATCAAAGTGATAACCTCATGGTCCATGTCCAAAACATTGCACCTAAGTTCTTAGATTATACCGTGACGAACAAAAGAATTTTTGGATTTCACACCTGGATAGACAAAATATGTTCAAAACAAAACTTTCGGTCACTTCGAAAAAATCTACGATACCTTCGGTTCCACGCTCCTGGATTTTTTTGCAAGCTGAAGTTCTCTTGGAGAATCCATGGGCCGAGCTCGTAGAAGCAACCGATCAAGCTGGAGCAACCGGGTCTGCCGTTGAGCCACACCATAATCGGTGAGATTTCCAGCTCGGTGTCTGGCTTGCTCGCTTCGTAGTAAACGTAAAAGAGGCGAGACCGTCAATGGGGAGATAGCCGGAGTCGGTTGGCAAAGCCTCGTCTGGGAATTCATACTCGGCAGCGTGGATTTCAATCTCTGGAAGCTTGGTTATGGAAGTCTGGACCTGAAAAACCACAGAGAAAAGTGGTTGTGATGTTGGTGTTGGTGGAATCGTCATTGATGTACATCCTTTGGCTCTTCCCACAATCTAGGAGTCATGTGAGGGAGAACATCGTCGATGACAAACACTGTTTCAAAATGGCCATTCTGGGGGCCTGTGACCAAAACCACCGTGAAATTTGATTTCAGTTGCATGAGGAAAACCATTGTATGAATTTTGGTGTTGTCTAATATCTATTAGTGCAATAATATTATCACTGACTCAAGCATTGATAGTTTAGATTTCATAAAAACAAAATATGTGAGTGCTTGGAATATGGAAAGGAAATACAGAAATGTGCATATTAATTAGCCCAAAAACCCCAATTTATATACAGGAGCGAGTGGTCCAAATTAAAACCAATTCAACGGCTACCAAAATCCCACGACACTAATATTAGTATACGGCATCATAACTGTACACTTGGCCCTCACATTATCCCCTCCTCTCGGGATAATGGAAGACCATCAGGGTTCTCTTGAAGATGGGCCGGGATCCAGAGGAACGTCAGGAGGATGTAAGCGACTAAATTTTCCATTCTACTTTAGTCACTTAACCACACCTCTTACCACTTGGAGGAGTCTCATTCACAACCTCCATAAGTCCAATCCAGGACTTGGGACTTGCTAGCCCCGAGAATGGCATCCATGCCACTCAACATTTGCACTTGGTCCAAGTGCACCACGTGTCCGATCCCATGACCGACACTCAAAGGTACCACCGACATAGCAGCCCGTTGCGCTAAGGCCATGCCCAATCACCTTTGCCCCACTAGTAGTCCAATACCACTTGCATCACAGTCTTGGCTCTCCAAGACCAGGCAAACCATCCGTGAGTGGTCATCTCAGATCCACTCCTTAGCATCCTTAGGATGCCCACCGACAAGGGGAATAGCCTTCCCCAATATCCCTCTGTCAATCCCCACTAAGTCCCTTTCTGCCCCTGGCCGTGTTTGCCGACACTGCCACTGGATCGAGGCCCATAGGCCCGACCACTAAGTCCCACGGTCCACTGGGACTTCCTCACCACACGACTGTGTCCTTGGTCACTACCCCAGAGGACTGCTCCTCTTCCTTTCCACAGTCTGGTCCTTTGGGACAACATTTCGGAACACCGTGGCCTTACGCGAGCCACCTGGGTACTCTCCTCGCCTTCTGCCCTTGGGTGCTCTAGCCATGGGCTTAGAGCGGGTTCCGTTGAGCCACACCAGGTATCCAAGTAGGTAGTGCCACCCACACTTGGACTGGGAGCATCGGCCAGTCGATCTCCCGGGGGAACTAGAGCCGGCTCTTGAACACTTCACCAAGCTACCCTGCTTGTCGGTCTGTGTTCACTCTAGTCTTGGACTTCCCAGTGGGCAGCTCATCACCCAACACTGGGTCCGGCCTTCCTGGGCCAAACTGGCCTTTCCTGGCCAAACTGGCTCCACTGCAGTCCTCCCCCTTACTATACTTTTGGAGCTCACCAAACCCCCCAGGGTCTGGGAGACGAACGCTTTGGGCTTTCACCCTCTCAGGCTCCGGACTCGGACTCGGACTCGGACTCGGACTCGGACTCGGACTCGGACTCGGACTCGGACTCGGATTCGGACTCGGACTCGGCCTCGGGCTCGGTCTCGGCCTTGGCCTCGGTCTCGGTCCCGATCTCGGTCTCGGTCTCGGTCTCGGTCTCGGTCCCGGTCTCGGTCTCGACTTCGGACTCCATCTCGGACTCCATCTCGGACTCCATCTCGGACTCCATCTCGGACTCCATCTCGGGTCCATCTCGGGTCCATCTCGGACTCCATCTCGGGTCCATCTCGGACTCCATCTCGGACTCCATCTCGGGTCCATCTCGGACTCCATCTCGGGTCCATCTCGGACTCCATTTCGGGTCCATCTCGGGTCCACCTCGGACTCCATCTCGGACTCCATCTCGGACTCCATCTCGGGTCCATCTCGGACTCCACTTCGGACTCCAACTCGGGTCCATCTCGGGTCCACCTCGGACTCCACTTCGGACTCCATCTCGGGTCCATCTCGGACTCCACTTCGGACTCCAACTCGGGTCCATCTCGGACTCCACTTCGGACTCCAACTCAGGTCCATCTCGGACTCCAACTCGGGTCCATCTCGGACTCCACTTCGGACTCCAACTCGAGTCCATCTCGGACACTCCCACGTGTCATGTGTTGGTCCTTTTGGGTCCCTTTTTGGAGCCTCGCCTTTTGCTCGCTTCGTGCTCGTTCCTCGAGCACTTCGTTGGGAGTTCCACTCCCGCTCTTGACTTTTCAAGTTGGAGCTTTTGGTCCAAACGTGTTACGCTCGTTTGGCTCTCGCTTCGGCCACTACCATGTGGCGCCCCTCTGGCTCCACTTTGGGGCCTAGGGATTTTGTGTCTCACAACTCCACCACCCATAGACGAAGTTCGATGTCCTCATCGAACGGTAAACCCTTTCATAAAGTAACACCCACACGTGTTACCATTTCCATCCTTGGCACCTAGCCAATATTTGTCAATGGTTTGACATTGAAGGCTCACCATGCCTTTTGCATATGCTTCAATGGTTTGACATTGAAGGCTCACCATGCCTTTTGCATATGCTTCAATGGTTTGACACCAAAGGCTCACCATGCCTTGCCTATCCTCTAAGGAGGGTAGTCTCTCCAACTTAGAGACTGATTGGACCACATGTAGCGGTTCTCTCCTTTTATTGGTTTAGTTCTCGCTAAACCTCTTAGAGACCCTTCTCTAAGTCAATCCCGCTACTCCTTCTCGAGTAGTCTCAATTTCCATCGATATAACCTTTGCACTTTGGAACTTTGAATTTTGACTTCTTGGAGTCAATTTCCTAGGTGTCTCCGACACCTTGCCTTGCACCTTTTGTGCAACTCCACTTCCCATCCTAGGAAGTTCTCTACTCGAGGGCACCACCATCCTCTCTTCTATTTCGTGCCAAAGTTCCAGTTATCATACTTTGTGCTAGGGCTGTTCATGGCCCTATCATTTGGCTACCTTACTGCTCCCTCCCTTGGAGCTTCCACTTTCGCCAAATCGGAGCATTTCGGAATCCCTCCTTGGAAACACACTTCCTTTCCCGCAACTTGTTAGCGTCCAACACATTAGTGTTCCTCGCCTAACTTTGTCACTTGGATTCCTTCCAAGGGATTCCACGACCCTATCTTGGCCACTCATCTTTTGCTATGGGCTCTATCCACGGCCCAACTTCGTGACCCTCCCATGGGTCTTTTATAGAGACTACTTTCCTCGGACTCACTATGCCATCGCACGGACATAGTTTATTTCCCTTAGGTGCTCTTCCCACTTGGTCATCACGACCAAGCCACACCACCTTAAACAGTTCAATTTCAACATTTTGAACCAGGAACTTCATTCCTTAGCCAACCAAGGACCTTGTCCTTATCTGGCCATAAGATCACCTAGTGATCTCACCTTGGCACCTTAACAGAGTTGCCAAGAGGTACTTGGTCTTCTAGACCTCCAAGTTGTTGACTATAACCCCGGGGGCATCCCCCACACTTGGCGGTGCACCCAAGCCAGCCCTTACGGCCAAGGGTTCATAGCAACTGAGATTAGGTGTCCCCATCTCACTCACCACGACCTTGGTGCCACTTGCACCAAAGCGTTCAAGTTAGATATGCTGAGCTTTCACACTAAGCAATCTAACCGTGCATCACGACTCCGAGGCATCCCTCGCTTGGCGGTGTGCCCAAACCAGTCTCCCCACTGAGAGTCCATGACCACCGAAATATGAGTGTCCTCATATTCCAAACCATCACCACGCCCTAGTGATTTGGGACTCGAACCCAAGCACTAGAGGGTCGGGACTCGAACCCAACCTCCGTATATGCATCTACGGACGGCATCACACAAGATGCCTGGCGTGACTCCCCACGCCGGTGCACCAACTTATTTTTAAAGCGCGCTACAGATCACAGCTTAGGAACCTAGTTCCTCCACACTGCCAAGTCCTCTCACTTGACATGTCTGTGATCATGCATGGACTCCTCCATGCTCGGCCCCATGGCCCACCCTTTTTGAAGTTATCACCTTCAACTAGGGTATTTGTTCCCCCGATGTGCCAATCTCGCTTGGCAAGTCCTCCGACCACTGTAACATGGTTCTTGCATAAGCGTGAAAGTCCTTGACCATCGACTTTCGTTCAAAGCCCTCTCTTTGAACACTCGGGAACTACTTCCCTAACCTTGATAGCCTTGCCTCATGGCAAGCTTCAAGACCACGCTTCTGCTGCGCCACTCTGATTTCGCGCGTTCCATGAACCATTTACACTTGGCCTTTCTAGGTACTAAGCTACCTAGAATCGTCTTTGGGAACCTTGAAGGAACTCTGTCCCTCAGCTTGCTAAGGCCTCCCTTTTGCAAGCCTTCCAAATGCCACATAGTCTAACATGGACAATTCCATAACTTAGACTCTTCATGGCATCACGGTTGCTAGCGGCAACACCCTCGAGCCCCCACTTGATTCTCCACTCCCAACTGGCATAACCAACCTTGGTTATGCCCTTCGATTTCTATGGTTCAGTTCCATCCCAATACTACTTGCCTTTGGCTTCACACCTTTCCTTCGGTCATTCTCCTCCAGATCAGGAGGATAGCTTTGCACTTTCTATCATGCCTTAGCAAGTATTCTTAGGGATGAACTTACCCAATAGCCCAGGGAGTGGTTCCTCAATCCGGGTATGCTCACCTTATAATCCCACACACTGGGATTACATTGTTGCTTATGGGCCTTTACATGCCCAGCACTAGCCTTGCCAAAATTCCATTTTTGGCTTTGTCCAACTTGGGTAGACAGTCCTCTCCTGTCTCCGCAACCTTGGACATTTGGATAGCACCTTCTATCCATCATTCGCTAGGGATTTAGTCCCTTGGGCTTTATCCATTGCCCTCGCGACAACAAACACCACCTTCTGGTGTTCTAGAGTGTTTGGGTGTCCCAATGATGGCTTTCTTGACAATGAGTATTTCCTTTTATGACATTGACTTACTATATCGCAACA